TCCACCACACTCTTCTCTGATCTACACTTTTTTTCGGAATGTGCATGATTACATCCATTTGAGATGGAGATATGGATGCTGCAGTAGCTGCCAGGTCACCTGCACTCTGACTAACTGGAAGATCAGGCATCTCCTCACCACTCACATCCTCACTGGGACTGGAAGGCTCACTGGGAACATTTGTGTCTATGTATCTCAGGAGAGCTCCTTCCTGCTTAATAGAAAAGCTTCCTTTGCTTTCTTTCTTTTTCTGAATGTTGCCCCAGAGGGGCGTTTTCTTCTTCCACTCATGACTGCTGTTCTGTGCCAGCTATAGTGGCTCTCAACACTCAATTGAAGGGGACAAATAAGCAGGCTGGTAGCAGGGCCTGAGTGAGGGAAGATATCAGCGTCTTAAGGGTCTAACTGGCTCCTGCTATTTCAGTTGACTGCCTGTTCTCCTCAAGTGGGTTCAGGGAAGCAGCAGGAAACAGGAAGCTCCCTGAGAAGCTGGTGTTAATCAGTCCCAGCTCCTGGGGTGCTAGAGAGGTACATAAGAGGCTCCTCCTCCTCTCTCTCCCTGCAACTCCTGCTGCTTTCTGTTATTCCCTCTCACCTTTTCTCCTGCCTGCCTGTTAAGTCTCTTGTGCCCTCCTTCCTCCAGCACAGCACTCCACCATCTCTGTGCATCTAGAGCAGAGAGAATACATATGCACCAGCAGCAGACACAATTTTCTACACTCTGGGTCCTAGTGGCACCCCCCCACCCAGTCTGGCACCTGAGGCAGCCACCTCAGTTCGCTTCATGGTAAGGCCAGCCCTGACTGGTTACACATTAGTTGAATTAATATTAGTTTGGCATATTGTGCTGAATTAATAAAGAGTGCCCTCCCCATATTGCAGGAAATTTAATTGTTTATAAAGTCTGATCTTGTGGTAAAAACAAAAGTCATTTTATTTTTTAAAAAGTGCTGGTAACACAAATTCTTTGACAAAAGTAAGTTCCATTATTAGCAAATTTAAATAAATGATTAGATTGATACGAAGGAACATTTTCAAAGAACATATTTGTTTGTTCTCAGAGAAATATGCAGTCTGCCCAACTGCTTGAGAATTGTGTTGAGAATTGGATCCATGGTTGAGCCACATCTGTATTCCCACTATGAGCTGATAGGATATAAAGAGCTAATGTTTTAGGCATTCTTTTCTGACTATGAGACACAATGCTCTTAGAATCCTCCTTCCAGCTATTTCAAAAGTGCCGTGATTGAGGCTCGCTATGGGTGTGTTAAATGCCCCATCCTTACATCCAGTGTTAATGCATCGCACAATAGCGCATAGATCTAACAGTAAACCCAAAAAGTGCATACCCTGACCAGATTGGCCTAATGAAATAGAGATTGGTTTTGGCCATGGAGAAGTCCATGGCGTGGAGATGCCTGAGGTAATTTTTTAATTGTATTTATTTAGATGTATACAAACCATTGAAAAGCCAGGAGTCTTGTGTCTTGTCTCCTATCCAGGAGACTTGTGTCTTTCCTAGTGCACACATGCAGTCATTTGAAGGCAGGCATTATAGAATCCAGATAACTAATTACCTGATTTTCAATCACAAATGTTATTTATATTAAAAAATCAGGTAAGTAATTATCTTAATTTTGCTATTTGCACCAGCTGCAATTTGACTGTACATAAAACTGGGGGCACAAATTCAGAGTCTATTTTAGAAAATGTGGCTCTTTAAATTATTTTATTTGAGAGGTCCTTCCTGAATAGCAGATCCACCAAACTCTTACTCATTCAAGAAGTTTGAACTCCTGCATTGAAGCTGGTAGAACTTCTCCTATATGTAAGAACTACTCAAATGAGTAAGGGTTTGCAGACTCAAGCACTTATTCACAAATTTAACTTAATGGTACATATTCATTGCAGTAGTTACTTAAAAATAATAATAGTTCTTGTCAGTAATACTCAATCCATTGAATTTTAGAGTTTGTTACATGCTTTTATGAAGACAATATAATTGTAGTAACATCTTGTACATGGATCCTTTTCTCTGATGTTTATACATTTTCTGTAGAACATCTTTTTGTGCAATGAAAGTTTTGGAAAAAGAGAACAGTTTATTTGAAAGGGACAATGTTTTCTTGATAACTGCTGCAGGTTCTTAAGAATTCAGATTTGTTAAGGATTGAGGTTTTTATATACAGCATACTAAGAAATATAAAACAATGTTGTATTGGAAATATCAGAATGTATGTGTCCTTCCCATATAAAACAAAAGTGTTTGCTACATGGGGGAAAAGGGGACCTATTTTAAGCTCTTTGTGCCTCAGGTAGTCCACTAAAAAGTCTCTGTGAGTGCTGCAATGCAGCACAGCACATTGTCTAAGACAAGTGAATATATGTTTTAGTTTCCACATAAAGTTTCTTTCAAGCTTACAATAACAAGCTGCTGTGTGATAAAAGGTGATCAACAGAGAATCACTTTTTAATACAAAATAATAGTTTTCTTACAAATATTGCAAGATGTTATTTTTCCTGTTTCTTGTATCTCACAGTGACAGAGGTTATTATGTGTGCTATTTATATTGTGAGAGATTAACAAACCTGGATAAGTGGCAATAAAAACATTCTAGATTTGTATTTATTTTATACTTCTCTATGATCACTGTTTGGACAAAGATGGATTAAGGCTTAACGATGCCCAGATCCATGGAAACACCAAGGCCATCACAGAAGTCAGGTCCTCCCCACCTAGGAGGAAGACTCTTCTTCCCAGCCCAGCCCAGCCCCCTTCACTCCTGTCCTGACAAACTTTCTTGTCTATCTTATACTTCTTACTGCTTGTTCTTCCTGCCAAGTCAGGTAGAGAAGCCCACCTCTCCATCCAAAGGAGGCTGCCCTAATCAGCCCCTTCTTTAGGGTGCTGATATGTCATCATGTCTCCTTCTGAGGAGGCCCTAGCAAGTGAAAATCCAGTTCATCAATAAATTCCACTTTCCATTTCGAAATGGAGATTATAAAATACTCAATTAACCATCCTTCAGACTTATCCCACTGTGTTTTGTTTGTACGTTACAGTAAAGCTAATCAGTAGTAATACAACTAAGATCAAGAACCCAGACTGTGTTAGTCTAATTTAACAACTCCAAAACATACATTTTAAAAATAAAAAATTAAAAATTTAATTTTAAATAAATTAAATAATTAATGGAGATATCCCATCTCCAGGAACTGGAAGGGACCTTCAAAAGGTCATAGAGCCAGCCCCCTGCCTTCACTAGCAGGACCAAGTACTGATTTTGCCCCAGATCCCTAAGTGGCCCCCCTCAAGGATTGAAGTTACAACCCTGGGTTTAACAGACCAGTGCTCAAACCAGTGAGCCATCCCTCCCCCATAAAGTGGGTCAAGTTGCAGTTTAAATTCCTGAGTCTATATGGGGATGATTGCCAACTTAGCACTACCATTAGAGATAAGATAACACCTAGTATTAGGAATCTGAGATGTTAGCCTTTATTAAGTAACTTAGTCTGTCCCTTTGCTGAAGTGGGATTGTTCCCTAGAGTATAGTTCCCAATGCTCTGTCCAGTCCTTGTCTGCAGCATCAAACAGGAGGTTAATAAATTGAGAGCACTCAAATTCAAACAGGTTTTTGCTGTTTTATCAAATGAAAATGAAACAAACAAACCTGGCTATGTGCTTTGCTTTTTGAGTTAATTTAGTGAAAGACCCACTGGTTGATGGGCAAGCTGGAAAATAAAACTGACTCATTCAGCATCAAATGCCCCAGCAATAACTATATGGCTGAAACCAGACAATCATTATGCTCTCCAACGAACTCACACAGAAAAATGATAAAAGACAAAAACACCATATCACCAGTGGGCAAACACTTTTCACAAAGTGATCATTCCATATCTGACCTCTCAGTACTCATCTTTAAAGGAAACCTGCACAACATCTTCAAAAGACAAGCTTGGGAACTTAATTCATAACTTTGCTAGATACCAAAAACCCTGGATGCAACAGACACTGGGTTCATGGATCATTACAACAGTTTGTAACACACTCCACTGCTTGCTGACCCCTAATTGCCCACTTCATTTTAAGTGGTCTCCCACAACATGTCTTAATCCCTAATGGTTAACAATCTGTGTCCACTTGTATTTAGCTCAGACACTCTGGTTTCCTTCCTCAGACCCTAAGAAGAGCTCAGTGAAGCTTGAAAGCTTGTATGTTCCACAAACAGAAGTTGATCCCCCAAAAGATATTACCTCACCTACCTTATCTGACTCATTTATGACATTCTTAAGACTATACATTTTCCTCCATAGAAGGATTGTTGCATTTACCTGAGACAACCAATAGGAAGTCATAGAAAATACTCAGATAAATTACATCCTTGCTTACAAGGGAGCCGGTCACATTTGGCAAGCTACTCAATTGACCTTTGAGGTCCTTGGAATACATTGTCCTATAATAATGAATAGAGTTATTTTAATGGGGATCTGGTTATTTATTCTCCTCTTTTAGTAAAGTGTAGCAGGTAACAAATAGAGTGTCCTATGTCTAGTGACAGCCCAGTCCATTGCAAGCAATGCTTATAATATATGTATATTAACCTACCTGTGTTTTGTTTAATATATTTGTTTATGTTGGCAGTAAAAATTACTAGAGTATCACTGTATATATTCAGTGGTCACTGTATATATTCAATGGATGCATAGAGCAAGACTCCATGTAATTGATACATCTCTGTGTTTGTGTGTTTCCACCTCTTTGAAGAACCATCATGTTTATTTTTTTGTAGAAGAGGTGAAGGATAGATTACAATGTAGACAGCATATAGTTTGAGAGATGTCAAATCAATTATATATTTGGATACCAAATAAACAGAGTTATAATAAGATTTTACTTTAAAATGACTGTTGAATTAATTTGCTAATAAAATGAATTACGTTTTGGAGACACTGTTACACATACACTTAATTTAAATGTTTTTACTTTGTAAATATAGTACGTTTACCCCTAAAATGCAAGGCAGACGGATGGGGACTTCAGGGAGAACCATCACAAAAAGCACAAGTGTGAGTGGAGAGATGTACAAACTGGAACATAATGATGGGAGTCAATCAGACACTGCTGTCGGGACAGTTGGAACAGGTGGGAAGAAAAGACGATCCAGCCTCAGTGCCAAAGTGGTTGCCATAGTATCTCGAAGGAGCAGAAGCACATCCCAACTTAGCCAAACAGGTGAGTGACATATACTCAAATTGAAAACAGGTCCCTTTAAATATTTCAGCTTATACTTTACCCATGGCATATGGACTAATCATATGTGTATGTCAGAATGTAGTCCACTGAGAAAAATCTCTTTCCATCTCAGAAAGAGTTTTTGAGTCATTTAATTTTGTCTGATTTCTAAACTTGGCAAAGAATCCATACAGTGATGTTTTAAAAATACGTATTATAAATCTCTTCTGTCCTGATGAATGAATGTGTTTATCTCTCAGAAGCCTTGATTACATGTAGCAAGGAAATGCAAAGAGACATATGTGGGTATCAAGAGTTTATGGGTTAGACATGAATGACATACTGCATGTACAAAATCTTTTTTGACAGAACAATTCAGTACAAATGCAAGACTTGTAACCTGTAGCATATAAAGGTCAGTTATATAACAGGCATAATTTTAAGGTGTAGGTGTAGCACCTACAGTATCAACATGTTTAATATTATTTTTAAGAGATTACATCTCATTTCTCAATTAAGAGAAAACCTAGTGTTTTCTATTTAAAAACAACACTGGCAAAATGGGGTCAGTGAATTCAGATAAATTAGAGTGCAGCATGATGCTTCATTATGCGCTTTAGGGGTTCCAATTCTTTATTGCTACTTCAGAAATCTTAAAAGCCTTGTATCTGTGTGGCCTGAAGGGGAAACAGCTCATACAGAAAGAAGCAAAAGGAAGAAATGTTTTAAAGTCCCCAGTCCTTCTCCTGCTGAACTCACTGAGTTTTGCTATTGACTTCAGTAGGAATAGGATCAAGCCCTTAATGTCCTGTGTTGCTTAAAAAAAGGAAAGCTTCAGAATAGCCGAGCACTCGGGCGTACTGTAGTGTTTCTATCACACAGTTGGGATAATCCCAAAGTGAAGGTAAGTATCAATATTGTGTATTTGTATTATCAAGTCTCTGCTTTTCCTTGTTTTTCTTTTTCTCTTTTGTGAGCAGTAGAAGCAAGTTTGTTTTTATTGAGATTTCAGGCAGTTTCAATTAAAAATGTATCTATTCATCTACTTCTAGTCTCATGTTTTTAAACTGAACATGCATGCTAAATTATGCATTTGAGTCAAATGATAGTTGTAATGGGATCATTTGAAGTCCAGAATTAGAAGTTATGTTAATAGTCTGTTGTGCTGCTCAGAAATGCAATAGGGTCATTACCATTCAGTCTCATTAATCTAAGTAGCAAACAGATTGTTACTTAAAATAAACCATATTAGTTCAGATCAATCCAAATCAGCTACTGTAATTTAAAATTTAAAAGTGGTCTGGCAGTATTCAAAGTGTCTGTGCTGATATATTCCCCCTTTATTAAGAGCTACATATTTTAATTTTATTTATAATTATTATTTTATTTAAAGTTTATATAATTTGGTTTGAAGCTGCATTCCTTCTGGACTTCACCCCCCAATGAAACAGGAACTAACATACTGCATTAGACCTGTGATCCACTTAATAGTCTGGTACTCTGTCTTGGGCAGCGGCTGGAACAAGTTGCTTCAGAGAAGGGTACAGGAAACTCCCCAGAAAGCAGAGGTGGAGTAATTTGTCTGCCATGAAGGTCTTGCCCTGCTCCCTAATAATTATAGAGATTGGCTTAAACTCGGAACTCTGAAGTTTTATATCACTTCCCATAGGGTTTATCTTTGTCTGTTTAGGATTTTTTAACACATTAATTACTTGTAACTCTGGATATTTTTGTTATCCATAAAGTATACAATAACTCTTTGAATCTTGTTCAAATCAAGTTCAAATTTCAAATCAATTGGAGTTTTAGGTGTGTCAGGAATATAGCATCAGGCTGTTAATTTGTAAAGTTTTAAAAAGATAATATTAAATTCAGCCTGAGACTCATGTTATACTATAATTCTCTACAGTACACAATGTCTTCCACTGCAGTGGAGACCATTGCAGTGACTTTTGCTAGCAAAAATATGGTTGTGTAGTACTTTCAGCCCTAAAACAGTGTTTAATGTGATTCTTAGTTTCCCTTATTGTAAACTTAGCTAGTTCTACTGTAAGGTAAAATCTAAGCAAATTCTGTTTATTACCTGTGATTTCTCAAAATATTCCCAATAATACAGAAACTCAGTATCAGAATAAAAAGTAAGTCATTCCAAAAGGACAGGAATCAAATATTGACCTAGTAGACAGAATTGCTGACATTCCTTTGAAAAAATTCAATAGTGGAGTTCCAGGTTTCCTGAATGTGAAAGGACAGTGAAGAATAATGTCTAAATGTATACAGTGCAATAATGTAAAAATCCCAAAGGTCCTTGTTTGGGCACATATTTTAGGCCTATACAGAAATATAACTTTATGTGCTTTCAGTAAAATATATGTCAGAAACCACTGAGTTGAATTAATTGTATTTTATTGGATTAATTTAGGCACCTAGGTATAAAGCCTGATGTTCTCTTTCCAAGGAAAACCCATAGTAGGGGACTAAGTATTCAAACCCTGAGTCCTAACTCACAGAATTGTTGTCACATTTTCTCTCCAGAAAAAGGGGTTTGAGGCCACACACAGAGGATGGTGGAAGCAGGGATTTCAGTAAACAAACCCTGAGGAGCTTGAGTGAACTGGGTGGCACCACTGCAGGTCTCAGTGCATTTGCAAGGAGAACTAGCCATTCTGTGTTGGTCCCTAAATTATTTCTTACCTTGATAGTCCACCAACCCTAGGCTCAAGTATAAGATATGCTGTTCTAATGCCTAAGTACGTGTATATATTAAGACTATATAGTTCTTTATCTATCTATAGCATTATATATCCATCCTATACTTATGTATTTTGAGTGACATCATTTAAATAAATGTAGGGTCATACAATATATAAAAAAATTACTACTTGTCTACAGGAAATAGGGTAATTCAGGCCAAATAGAAATCCACAAAGCATCCTTAATTTATTTTCGCACCTGTTATACTTTAATAACTCATTATTGGCTTCTCTATTTAAAATTAAAATGTATATGTTGCTGATTAAGTAATGTAAATTAGACCCTTTACAATACATGTATAAATATTTATCTGTTACTAATATTTGAAAATCAGCTTCAATAGATAGACTTTTTCACAAAAAGTTGTAAATTTACATCACTATTAATATTGTGCTGCCCTCTAAAAAAAAGTCAGATATGCGTTTATGCTGTAGATCTGTAATCAGCCAATTGATAAATGCACATTTATTAAATTAAATAAATGTAAAGATTTATTAGTAGCTTTGAATAGCCTCGCCTGTGCCACTCAGGTCAGTTTAATAGAATGGTTGTGCTATTTACCAGAGAATATGCAATCTGAAGAAACTACTCATGACTTGCATATAAATTTGTTTCTAACCCCACGCCTTCAGGCACTGCCCCCACAGCTCCCAGTGGCCACAGTTCTCAGCCAATAGGAGCTGCGGAGCCGGGGCTCGGGGCGGGGGCAGCGCGCGGAGACCCCTGGCATCCCCTGCACCTAGGAGCTGGACATGCTGCATGCTTCCAGGAGCCGCATGGAGTCAGGGCAGGTAGGGAGCTTGCTTTGGCCCCGCTACACTGCCGACTGGACTTTTAGCAGCCTATTAAAATCTCCATGATTGCTTACAATAGTCACTGGGAGATCGATGCCGATTCCGGTAGATTCCCGGCCAATCTGGGAGGGTTGCCAACCCTAGCTCTATCTTTTAAAGCACTCACAATCATTACACAGCCATCTTGCCACTATCTCTGCTCCACTTTCCCTATATTTGAGGTATTGTCAAGCTGTATTTCCATGATGCTGGGCATCTGTCAGACTAGATCACATGTTTTTGTATCAAATAGGTGTTATTCTGGGCCAAATTGGCAGGGTGTTTGCCTTCCTCACAGCATCACGGAGGCCCAATTTTAGGTTAAAAGGAGTGTGACTAGGAATTTTTAATGTTAAGAAATAATGTTGAAATGATTGGTTCATCATTACTTGTATTCAGTGTCCACTGAGGACATTGGCTGAAAGGGCTGGTGCCCAGAGAAAAATATACAAGATCTTGGATGTTGCTGATGGACCTTTCAGTAGGGAGAAGGGGAGACCTTAAGTCTTTGCAGACTGAGGTATCCTTCAGAGATACCCTCATTCCCCATCATAGAGGGAGGGAAGAGAGGATCTTGAGGTAGGCTAAATCCTAGGAGATTTTTTTGTATTTGGGGGTGGAGGGAGAGGAGGGTCAGATACCACTTCCCACTATAGTTAAAGTTGTATCCTGCTCTTTAAAATCTGTCTCCTTATCTATGTTTTATTTGCCTAATTTTCAATATTTGAAATGTGTCAAAGTGTCAAAGATCTTGAGGCAAACACTTTATACTACAGTAATTTCTAGCATCCTGTTTAAATGTGTATAGATTATGTATGGATATGTGTGTGCCTAATACCTAATCCAATCCCTTTAAGGTCAGTATAACTCCTATTGACTTCATTGAGAGTTGGAGCAGGCCCATAAAGAATACACCATGCTGTGATGGTGATGGAATAAAGTTTCTACTGGTTTGTACTGGCAATAGCTATGTTACTCATAAGTGACACATCCAATAAAACCTTTTAATGAGTCCAACCATGGCACATATTTCACACAAAAAACTATTTCAGAAATGTTTTAGAGGTTTATTTAAACTTATAGGGTGATCTTCACCCCCTGTAAAGGGCCAATATTGGGCCTATACACCCTTTGTTCCTATTTTCACCCATGAATATGTTGTGAAAATTGTGTAATGCAGAAAATGCCATTCTTTGTGCTACTCCATAATCCATGAGAGGCAAAGCTATGTTCATTGTGGAAGAATCGGGATGATGTGTTACAGCTGCATGCTTGCTGGTCAAGAACAAGAAATGGAAGAAATTAAATTGAATGGTTTATATAATGTAGCATATATTCTCCTCCATTCCTGCCAATCAGGTTCATGAGGAGAACAATAAAATTCAAAATTTTTTTTAAAGGCCAGTTTCTGAG